CAACTGACTGCTGCTATATGAGGAACAGCTGATCTTCCTAAAACAAAGACCTCTAGATAGGCTGACTAGATTCACTAGAAGGGCAAATAGTGTAGTGGGGAATGGCTGGGGGTGCCAACAACACAGCAGACAGTAGCAGGGATATCAGAGTATAAGGGCTCTAGTTGGAGGAGGGAGGCTATGGGAGGGTGTTGCCTGGGAAGTGAATGTATAAATAAATTTAAAAAATTAAAATAATTCTTCAAAGCATAAAAATTTTCTCCTTAATAATTAGTAGATGTGAAAAACGTTACCATTGAAATCTACCTGATGACTTTATATCCATGCTCAGATGCCTAGAAGCTCAGAAAGTAACCAAATGTAACTAGTAATAATCAAATATATAGATATTAGAAATGCATAATGAAATGGAGATCTTTTTTAAAGTTTAAAACCTCATTTAATTTTATGTCTTATAGGGGTTATATGGAGTACAATATTGTATAAATGTATCAATTCAACTGTAAACCTAAAAATTTACAGCCAATTTTGAAAGACATGCAACTTAGCTCTGAAACTGTTATTGAATATGTCAATGCTGTTGTAATTAAATGCTTCTTCTAATTATATGGTTATTAAATAAATAATTTAAAAAATTTATTATCCTGGTTCAGAAGTGGGCAACATTGGGGGGAGGTACCAATGTTTCATTGGTCACAGGTATTTGATTTATTTTTATTTTATGTGTATGAGTGTAATACCTGTATGAATGTAAGTGCACCATGTATGCAACTCCCTGGAACTGGAGTTAGAGACATTGGAATTGGAGTTAGCTGTCATGTGGGTGCTGGGAACTGAACCCAGGTCCTCTGCAAAAGCAGTCAGTGCTCTTAACTGCTGAGCCATCTCTCCAGCCCCAAGGCCACAAGTATTTTATGGTACTTAGAATATGTAAATTTTTGACTCTGTGATAATGAGAATCACTTTGAATTTGTTTCCCTCTTGGGTGGTGTGTTTATACATTCTTTTGACAAATCTAGCTGCCAGTCCACCCTTTAACTCCTTCAAGTCTCTTTTCTTCGGCGTATCTGCCACATCACCACTTCTTTCCACTACTTGTGTAGTTAACTATTGTCTTAATATTTGAGACATTATCCATGGAACTGGCCCAAGATCAAGGAGGAGGAGAGAGACAGAAAATAGCCCTAGGCTCAGAAATCTGCATTTCGTAAGTACTTTGGTGATTCTGGTCGAGGTGTAGGCCGATCATGCTGAGAGATGCTGTCTTAGAAAATATCGCTGTAATCTCGAGCCAGCACTGTGACAGTCAGTGAGAATCTAAAGGTGTTGTCTCTACAGCTTTAATTTCGGAAACCATGCTGGTAGGATTTTCCGTCTTCTTCTAAGACATAGGATCATGTTTTTAGAAGGCATCTAAGCGACTGTTTGGCAGTCGCCTCCCCCGTGATGTTTCTGAACTCTCCCTCCACTCTGCAGGAAGCCTATGGTATTTTAAACAGATTTGAAGTTGAAGTAACCAAAGAGGAATCAGAAGCTGTTGATACCCTGAGATATTCTTTCAACAAATTGCAGAGCAAAGCTGTAAGTTCACATTTAATTGTATTTCTACGAAGTCACTATTTCCAGAAGAATATATATCAGACTTTAAAAAACCTCATTTATAATAATTTATTGATATGTTTAACCACACTATAAACTTTGCTATTTTGAAATAGGCAATTCATGGTTTGTAGTATATTCACAAAATTGTAGAAAACCATTTTTATCTCATTGTAGACCATTTTCATTATTCCCCAAAGAAACCTTGTGCCCACTGGCAATCACTACCCATTCTCTGTCTTACCCCCGGCCATCTTTCCATTGTGAATTTATGTTTTCTGGATAGCTGATATAGGTGCGCTCATATAAATATTATGTGGTCCTGAGGGAAAATCTTTTACTTGGCATCCACTTTCAAGGTCCGTCCATATCACCCCAGAAATCATCCCTCCATTTTTCTCAATGCCTAACCATATGAAACATCTTTTCATTTGGTCGTTATATTGTGACCATTTGTATACCTTTAGAGATATGTGCATGTCATCAGTCTGTTCTTAAAATTGAGTCCTTTGTTGTTGTTATATGAGTTCTTAATGTATTCTGGGGCCCTTATCAGATATGATTTGCAAATATTCTCTCTCTCATTCTCTGTCTTATCATTTCATGTGATTGATTGATTGATTGGTGGTGCTGAGAATAATCAAACCCAGAGCTTCATCCATGACGGACAGGCGCTCTGTCGCTGAGCTGTATTCCCAGATTCACTTTTTCCCCTTTCTGGGTGGCATCTTTTGAAACATACTGATGTTTTTAACTATAATGAAGCTCAATTGATTTTTTTTCCTTTTTTTTTTCATTTTGGTATCATATCCAGGAAATCATTTCCCAATCCATAGTTACAAAGATTCACATCTATGTTTTCTTAGAAGAGTTTTGTAATTTTAACCTTTAAATTTAGGTTTCTGATACATTTTGAATTAAATTTTATACATGGTGTAAATTAACAACTTCACCAACTTCATGCAAGAACATGTCTATATCCATTTGTCTTCCCATCATTAGAAAACAAACAGGGAGACCGCACAGTTGGTAAAGTGCTTGCTACACAGCATGGGACCTGTGTTGATCCCCAGAATACATATACAAAAAATGCCAGGCACAGTGGTGTGTACCTGGAATCCCAGCACTGGGGAGGCAGGGACAGGAGGATCCCTGGGGCTTGCTGACCAGCCAGTCTAGCCAGTCAGCAAGCTCTGGGTTCTGTGAGAGACCCTGTTTCAAAAAAGTAAGATGGAAAGTGATGAGGACATCCTGTGTTGATCCCTGTCCTCCACTTCTGTGCATACATGAACATACAGACACACACGATGATGATGATGATGATGATGATGATGATGATAAAACAAGCAAACAAACACTCCTTTCACCCTTAAATTCTCTTGGCACCCACATTGAAAATCAATTCACCATACATACGTAGGCTTATTTTAGACTCTAAATTCTATTTTGTTGATTTAAATGTCTATCCATATGTTAGTACCACACTGTCTTGGTTACTGCAGTTTTGTGTTAAGCTTTTAAAAGATGTAGTAAAGTACACATAGCCTAAAGTTTAGAAACAAGAGTATATTTGGGCTTGTGGTTCCAGAGGGTAAGAGTCGTCATGACAGGGAGGCTACGGCAGGAGGCAGCCAGAGCAGACAGCTGAGGGCTCACATCTTCAATCTCAAGCAGGCAGTAGCAGAGAGAGACAAACCCAAAGTGGGGCAAAGCTCTAAACTCTGAAAGCCTAGTCCCATTGACAACTATAACAAGGCCACACCTCCTAAAGGTTCCATGACCCTCCCCAAAGAGCGCCACCAACTGACCAAGTGTTCAAATACTTGAGCTTATAGGGGACACTTCTTATGCAAACTGTCACATATAGTAACTCTGCTTTTACTCTTCTTGTTGAATTGACTTACTGCTTTTCATAGTGACTTCCCGTTTTTATATTTCCATTAGCAATGCACAGGGATTCCCACGTCCCTACTTTCTGCCAAATACTTTGTTTCTTTCGCAGTAGATGTCTTAATGAATGAGGCAGTATCTCTTGGTGGTTTTGATTTGCATCTCATTAGTGCTTAGTGATACTAAGCATTTTTTCATGTGCTTGTTGGTCATTTGTATATATTCTTTGCAGAAATGTCTAAGCCTTCTGCCAATTTTGAAATTGGGGTATTTATCTTTGCATTTGTTGAATTGTAGGAGCACTTTGTATATGATTGATATTAACCTTTTATTAGCTAAATGGCTAGTCAACATTCTCCCTCATTCAATGGTTTGCCTATTCTTTGGGTGTTCTTATAATCCTTTCTTTTTCTATTAGGCTGTTAGTTATGTTTGCTCTTCTGTTCTTGAGTAGTTTGAAGTTCTTTCGTTTATTCTTGGTTAATATAGGTAAATTTTTGTCAATTTTGTTGATCTTTTCAAAAAAGAACCTAGTTTTGATTTTCCCTAGTTTTTCTATTCTTTAAAAAAAAAGAATTTAAAAATTACAAATGTGTGTGTGTGTGCGTGTGTGTGTGTGTGTACGCACACACGTGCATCCCATGTCTTGTGTGTGGGGGTCAGAGGACAACTTGTGGGAGTCAGTTCTCATCTTTCACACGTGGGTTCTGGGAATTGAACTCAGATCGTCAGGCTTGGTAGCAAGCACCTCTACCTGCTGAGCCATCTTGCCAGCCCTAGTTCTCTGAGTCTTTATATTCTTTATAACATTTGTGTTCTAATTTTATTGTCTTTTTTCCTGCTTGCTTTGGCTTTAGTTTTTCCTTGGTTGTGTTAAGGTGGATGATAAGGTTACTGATTTGAGATATATATATTTTTTCTTTGAATGTTGGCACCAATATCTATACATTTCTGTAACCCTTTTTGAAGTTGGTAAGCATTTACATACCACAAGTGAGACTTTAGAAGTGAACTTCAAGGGAGGGTCTACATTGTTTAACTACCCTGAACATTTTCATTGACTGTCAAACAGACTGAATGTTATTTTAAATTTTCTTGTTAATGGAAAGGTTGTCAGTGTTAAGAAAGTCGGACACAGCACCAAGGAGACAGACATGAATCGGGGTCTTGACTTGTTTGTTAGCGCAGCTCACTGGTTGGATACCTTCATCAGCTGGATGATCTTACACAAGAAGTAATAATCACTTCTGTGTCTCAATTTCTGTATGTGGCCACTTAGGAGTATTAGTAAGTTCTTATATGTGGTTGTGGGGCTCACTTGAAGTAATGCATTCATAGTCCTTTTTCATATTTTTGTTTACTTAAGTTCAATATTGCTTGCTCTTCAGGGAAGCGAGTCACAGGAAGGAAACAGGGAACTTTACATTGAGGTTTTATTAAACTCAATCTTTGGTTTTATTTAACAGAAAAGAATCACTTGGATTGCTCTTCTCTGCCTCTACCTGTTCCTGTTAATCCTGCTAACCTTCCTTTAGGAGACACAGTTTTACATTACAATCCCTCTTCAAGTAGTATATGTTCCCACCTATAGATAGATGCTATTGTTATAGAAAGCCATGAAGAACAGGGCCCTGGAACCCCACTGCTGGTGGCAGAACCTTTGGGAGAGTTTCTTAACCTCTCCAAGCCTCAGTTTCCTCACCTGTGAAATGGATATAATAGTAGCATAATATAATTTACTACATGGTGCCGCTGTGAAGGTTAAATGACTTAGTATAACAACATGGAGGCGGTGAACATTATTTACACACTAGCTATTGTGTAAGGTTTAAATAAAAGCTTTCAAGACCAGCATGGGGGATAGTTACTGTGTGTAGGTGTGTGGGTGTACATGTGCACGTGTGCCTGTGTGTGTACACATGTGCATGTGAATACCAGAGGAAACCTTGAGCGTTGTTCCTTCGGCACCATCTACCTTGTTTTTTGAGACAGGGTCTCTCAGTAGCCCCGAACTCACTAATAAGGCTAGGCTGACTGGCCAGAAAGCTCCAGGGATCCACTTGTCTCTACCTCCCCAGGGCTGATTACAGGTATATGATACCATGCCTGGCTTTTCTAAAAAATGTGGGCTCTGGTCTCTACTTCCTGTGCCCTCATGAGGGTGTGAGCGCTCAGCTTTCTGCTCTGTCCACTTCTGCTGCCATGCCTCCCCTGCCTTTATGAAGTCTCCATCTGGAACAGTAAGCCAGACAAACTTCTTTCTAGGAAAAAAAGTGGGTTCTGAGAATGGAACAAAGGTCTTTATGCTTTCAAGGAAAACACTTTACCAACTGAGCTGTCAACTACTGCAGCCATGCACTAGAGATTGCTACTCTGAGCTGTTGGCATGGTCCCAGAGACAACACGTGACCCAGATTGGGTCAGAGAAAATGACGTGGCTTCTTGGGTCACAAGCTAGAAAGATTGTGTCCTGTATGTGCATCTGGGTTGTTCATAGATCTCATTACAAGCAGACAGAGGCATTTTTATCCTCACAGTCTATGGGATAACGGGCTTGCTGGAGAAGAATTATAGTTTTCGTTTTGAATACATCACTCAAACCCTCATGCCAAATATTCTTTTTGATTCTAGGTTTCCGTACAAGATGAACTAGTTCAAGTGCAGCCAAAATTTAAAAGTAGCCTGCTTGAGTCAGTGGAAGTTTTCCGGGAGGATGTTATCAACTTTACTGAAGCATATGAGATGGTAATTCAATGTTGCATAGTGTGTGTTAATATGTTTGTGATAGGTAAATTGCATATAAGTGACCCTATTTGCACAGAAACAATCAAAAGAGGGCATGGCAATTCCTTTGGGCATGTGTTTAGAGAAAGAAGGCAGATTTGGCTGTTAAATAAGCAACTTAGGAAGCTGTTCAAAGAACAAAGGGTCAGGTTTTGTCCTGTCTTTAGGGATAGAATTATAGAATTTCTGGTAGAGGGGCTGGAGAGATGGCTCAGCAATTAACACTTGCTGCTCTTATGGAAGATCTGAGTTCAGTTTTCAGTGCCCATAGCCAAGTGGCTCACAACCATCTACCTGTACTGACATCTTCTTCTGGCCGTCACAGCTACCTGCACACACACACACACACACACACACACACACACACACACACATGCACACACATACGTAAAAATAAATCTAAAAAGGAATTCCTTCTAAAAAGGAATTTCTGATAGAATATGTAATACAGTTGTTGACGAGCTTAAGATTCTATAAACACTCAAGTTCTTAGAATAAATGCAATTTTATATTGTTGGCAATTCTTAGGAAACCAAAAGCATCATTGAAAATTGATAATAAATGCCATACTGGGATAGTTCCACAAACTACTCAACCTGGAATTTGGACTGATACTGCTGGTCTTATGAATTTAACCTCAAAAGGTAAACATTGGGCTGGAGAGATGGCTCAGTGGTTAAGAGCTTATTGCTCTGTCAGTCATGAGGACCAGAGTTTGATCCCAGCACCCACACTGCACATCTCACTAATGCTTATAACTCTAGTTCCAAGGGATCTGATGCCCTCTTCGGGCCTCTGTGGGCACCCACGTACAAATGTGTGCATCCACTCATATAGACACATACAGATATATACACACATAAATCATATATATAATATATAGTAATATGTAACATAATAATAGACATGCAAAGTTTGATCCCAGCACCCACACTGCACATCTCACTAATGCTTATAACTCTAGTTCCAAGGGATCTGATGCCCTCTTCGGGCCTCTGTGGGCACCCACGTACAAATGTGTGCATCCACTCATATAGACACATACAGATATATACACACATAAATCATATATATAATATATAGTAATATGTAACATAATAATAGACATGCAATAATAGATATGTAATTATATATAATACATAAAATGA